CTGCGGCACGGGGCTGGAGCTGGTGGAGGTGACCCCCGGTGTCGGCACCTGCGAGTCGGGCTGCCCGGAGGGCCAGTACCGCCAAGGCACGGACTGCCTGCCCTGCGACGCGGCCTGCGCCACGTGCAACGGCCCCACGGACAAGGACTGCTGGCGGTGTGCCTCCGGCGTCCTGCAGGGGGGCGACTGCGTGCAGGCCTGCGCCGCCAGGCATGTGGCCATGGCCGGCCGGTGCCTGCCGTGCCATGTCTCCTGCGCCGAGTGCATGGGCACTCGGAGCACCGAGTGCCTGCCGGACTGCGCCCCCGACTTGCTGGCCCTGCCGGCCGGGCAGTCGCCCATGCGCTGCGTGCCGGCCTGCCCGGCCGGGTACCACACCTCGGCGGCCGGGTGCGCCCCCTGCGGCGCGCACTGCGCCAGCTGCCCGGAGTCGAACGACACGTGCGCCCTGTGCGAGCGGGGCTGGCTGCTGGACGCGCCGAGCTGCGTGGCCGGGTGCCCCCCCTCCTCGGTGGCGCAGGGCGGGCTGTGCGCCACCTGCCACGCCACCTGCGCCGAGTGCTTCGGCCCGGCGCCCGAGCACTGCCTGGCATGCGCCCCGGGCACGCCGCTCATGCTGGACACCAGCTGCGTGGCCGCCTGCCCGCCGGGGACCTTCCAGCAGGATGCCACGTGCCTCCCCTGCCACGCAGGCTGCGCCACTTGCAGCGGCTCCGAGTCCTCCGAGTGCACGTCGTGCGCCGGCGACCGGGTCCTCCACCAGGGGGCCTGCCTGCCGGGCTGCCCGGGCGGCTGGTTCGCCGACGCCAGCCGGAGGTGCCGGCCATGCGACCCCTCGTGCGGGACATGCTCCGGGCCGCGCGCCGACCAGTGTCTCTCCTGCGGCGAGTCGCTGCTCCTGGCTGGCGGCGAGTGCGTGGGCGTCTGCGCCGGGGGCGCCTTCGGGTGCATGGGCCGGTGCCGGCCCTGCCCGGACCGGTGCGCCGAGTGCACGGCCGACGCCGCGTGCCGCGCCACATGCACGGCCTGCGAGGCGGGGCTGCTCCTCTCGCCGGCCAGCGGCCAGTGCGTGGCGGCCTGCCCGCCGGGCGAGCACGCCGCCGAGGGGGGCCTCTGCCGTCCGTGCGCGTCGCCCTGCGCCGGGTGCTTCCTCCGGGCCGACGCCTGCACCTCCTGCCAGGACGCCTCGCTGTGGCTGGACACCCGGACCGGGGCCTGTGTCTCCGCCTGCCCGGGGGGCCTGGCCCCGGGCCCGGGCAGCCGGCACTGCCTCGCCTGCCCGGAGCATTGCGAGCGCTGCACCGCCGGCCCGGGCACCTCCTCGCCGTGTGCCCTGGCCCCGGATGGCCGGCTGCTGTGCTCCCCGGTGCGGGCGTGCCACCAGTGCGGCCAGGCGTTCCTGCTGCTGGCCGGCACCTCCTGCGTGGCCAGCTGCCCGGCCGGCCACTACCCGGCCCTGGAGGCCCCGGTGCCGGCCTGCGCGCCCTGCCACCCGGACTGCCTGTCCTGCACCGGCCCCGGGCGCGAGGGCTGCCTCCTGCCCGGGGGGTCGCCCCGGCGCGCGCTGGCCCTGGGCCTGGGCCTGGGCCTGGGCCTGGGCGGCCTGCTGCTCGTCCTGCTCCTGGGCCTGGTTCTGTTGCTGTGGTTCCACCACCGCCGCCGCGGCCGCCGCCCGTCGGCCAAGGTACGCCGGCCCGCGGCCGCCCCGCCCCCCCCCCCCCCCCCCC